CCCCCCCAAGTCCTTCAGAAATTTCTTTAGTAATTTCCTTTTGACTTAACATTCCATTTTTCAGCAGGTCCACTGCTGCTTCCGCTTTGGCCACAGGGGTTTTACAGTTCCGACAACTCTGTTGTCCTCTTTGGATATTTCCTGTGTGCATCACTATCAAAAATCTAAATAAAGAGCTTCTGTTAGAAAGTTTTCACTTGCTATTAAATTTTTAGCATTTCTTTGAAAGTTCATGTTATTGCCCTGAATATTGATGGTGTCAGACCAGTGGGCTTGTGCTTTTCATTTCTCCCTTCAATATAGGTACTGCCTTGCTGTCCTCCAACTACATGGTACAAACCTCAGGAACTAGATGAAAACGTGTTGCCAGAGACCTCCATTTCCTGTGCTGCTCTCCAGCGCTTTAGGATGGAAATGAGATGGACCCACCACAGAATCTTTGAGCTGTTTGTCCACTTAGTTGTGTTAATTGCCTTTTACTTACCCTGTTTTGATTTCATGGTCAGCATCATGATCTTTATTGAAAACTGAAACACTAGATTAATTCTTGGCCCCCACACAGGTATTTTTTTACTGTATCCCATCTTCTTAAACGCTTTTACAATCTTCACGGAATTTCTTGTGGAAAACTTCAGCCCATAGTGCTAAAATAGTTTGTTCCTTAGCAGAAAAAAACTACAGAATACTGTGCTGCCCATGGCGTGCTGCTCTTAGCTTGAGTATTTCAAGTTTAGCCTTCACTTTACAAAATAAGGAGTATTCAAACAGTGTGCACTCACCTTCCGCAGTGACACCAGGAGCCTCATCTTGCAATCTTTGTACAACCTGAGGGAGGAAAAATGCCTAAAACTACATAATTTGAATACAAAGGTGAAGACAGTGCTGCATGGAAACACGCACTCCCCCAAAGCTAATCTAGTTTAGTAAATGGGTATGGCAACCATTACAATGAATGCTGTAAGCTAGAGAAGCTATGGACATGACCTGATTTTTTAAATTATTTTTTTAAGCTGTTTTTTGCTTGCAATCAGTAACAAGCCACTATTTTCTATCACTTTTTGGCAATATTTAAGTTTATGTGTTCTTATTAGATAGTTTACTACGTGTTCTTGTTAGTAGTCACCAATACACACTTTTGGAAATCTTCAAAAGGGTAAGATTTTCAGCAGTTAAATTTCACGAGTTGCATAAAGATTTTAAAGGGCCGAGAGTTAGCCTGGAAATGAATGCACTTCTCTGAGATGCACTGTCCTTTCTGTACATTCATACTATAGGACAGTATGGGCCCAAAGCAGAGCCTTTTTTTGTTTGACTCACAGGTACTTATGGGACACGCTTGTACTGTAAATGTACAGACATAAACCAGCGGAGTACACCCTCGGTTTTCATTCCTCCCTCGCTATCACAGCACCCCTCCTACCCTGTGAGACGGGAAGGAAAGAGGACAGTGGGTCAGCTGTGGGCAGCACATCTTGATTTTCTATTTCCAGCAGGTCTCTTCTCTTTCTCTTGGAAGTGATCGACCATTTCCACACTTGCTCTTTTGGAGTCTTTATGATGGCACCCAGAGAGCTGCTTTTTCAAGTGCTGCACCCTGCCTAGAACCTTCTGCCGTGGCCTGAGGCAGCAGAAGGGTGTCCTGTTGGGCCTGTGGCAGTTCTAATCTGTTGCATGCAGATGCTGAGGCTCTCGGGGGCAGTCTGAAGATCAGGGTTTCTTCTCCTGCCCTGGAACTTCTGTAGCCACAGGGATGTACAGAAACTCAGACCCATGAGCTGATGTCTGACAGCACTTTATGGGCAGTAGGTTACAGCCAGGGACAACTATCAAGTTGCCAAACCACTTTGCTTAAAAATAGCACGGTCTGCATGCCCCCATACGAGATGGCATAATGTGCTTGTGAAGCTATAGGTGAGTCGTGTTCAGCTTCCAGTATTGGGTGAGAACCCATCACCCTCCTCAGCAGTTCAGGTGACATCGCAGAATCACCACAGGGGTCTCTGAAGTGCTTTTTGTAGCATCACATGGAGAGTGTGCAGCTCAGATATATGCCTGGGAAGAAGTGAGATGGCAATGGAGGAGCAGGGAGCAGCCAGAAGAGTCTTTCTTCCCCATCGTGCCGGATGACCTGTGGATGGACCTGGATAATGCTGCTGGTTTGAATGGCAGAAGGGTTCTCACCTCCTTCATTTGTTTTGGTCTGAAACACACTGCCAGGTTGGCCGTGTGCCCCCTCTTTGATGGAACTCAAATCCTGCAGCTGCTGCCACCGCTTGTGTTGGTGGTTGGTTGAAGGAGGCGTAGGCAGCAGCAGGTGCTTCCTTCTCAGGAAGGATTCAGACCAAGCCTCTTGCGGGTGTTTGCCTGGGAGATGGAGCAGAATCTCCAAGCGCCGAACCCCTGTGCTTGGCTTGATTTGGGATGAATCGCGGCTCTGCTGTGTTGTTGGCAAATGCCACGTAGTGAGGCAGTGACCTGTGTTGCCGAGACCTCCATCTTGGGATTGGAGCAGTGTTTGTAAAATTTGGGTTCGTTGGCTGATTAAGAAGGAAAGGCCTGTGCCGTTCTTTGCCCACGGCACGCGTGTGAATGAGTGCATTTGTGTGCAGGAGACAGAATGAAGACAGCAGGAAAAATCAGAAGTTATGGTGGAGTCCAGGTGTAACGCACAGTTTACCATAGGGATGATTTCTTGGTTTTGACATCGGACATACTCGTCTCCTTTGAGGACCTCAAGCAAGCTTGCGATGTGCTGCCCTTCCTTCCTAAATAATGATTCTCAGCCTGGTCAAGGTGCTGTGAACACAGAGTGGGAGAGAAACGAAACAGGGAGTAGTCACTAACAGGGATAACAACAAGGTATTTTTCTAATGCCAGTAATATTTCTGTTTGCAGGAGAACTCCGACACATTACCAAGCTGAAACCTTGGAGTCTTTTTGATGTGCTTGTGGAGAAGTATGGTTGGCCTCATGAAGATGCTGCACAGTTTACAGATTTCCTGATTCCTATGCTAGAAATGGTCCCAGAAAAACGTGCTTCAGCTGGAGAATGCCTTAGGCATCCATGGCTGAATTCTTAGCAGAATCTCCGGTTGTTAAAAAAAAAAAAAAAACCCCGGTTGAAAAAAAAAAAAAAAAAAAAAAAAAAAAAAGCCAGCAACCACTTTCCAGTGCATTGGACCTAAATGGTGACTGTCACAAATTCTTTAGCAGGATCACGCGTGAGCTGGCTTCAATCCTCAGACCTTTATTTTGCTTGAGGTACTGTTTGACATTTTGCTTTTTGTGCACTGTGTTCTTGGGGAAGGGTAGTCTTTTTGTCTTCAGCTAGTAGTTTACTCACCCACTTTCTTCAGAAAACACTTAACGTGTCTTTAAGCATTGTTTCTTGTGTTGTGTGGCATTCAGATGTCAGATTTTTGAACAAAGGAAACTTCCCCCCCATGTGTTTTGGCAAGTTTTGTAACTATTTATGAAAAAAAAAATATTTTAGCTGATGCATATTATGTAATTTACAAGCGTAAGAAATTTATCAAGTCAGAACTGAGTTACGGTGAGGAATTGTACAATTTTATCTTCTGGCAAAGGGACGTCATTCTTGTATTATAGCGTATGTAAATGCACCCTGTAAATGTTTATTTCCATTTAAATATGGGACTGGGGACTCAATTTCAGAGTAAAGCGACTGAGTTTTAGAAAGCTTTATAGCAAACCAATTGCATGTAGTGGACTCTAAACTGCTTTAAGGAATCGTGTAAACTTTCTATTCTGTAGCAGTTCCCGTTCATTGGATTTTAAACAAAGTGGCTCTGGTTTACAGGATTTCATTCCCCAAACGGCACTTTAAAGGAAGGCTAGACTTCTTTCTAATAAAGTATGCATTATCATTTAGCACTCCCTTTTAGAACTTTTGCCCTATTTTAAGTGCTTTTAAGAAAAGAAAAATAGCAATTTCCCTTACAATGTGATAGTGAAGACATGGTACCATATGGTGTTGCCTTTTTATAAGCACTGTAAGTTGTACAGTACCTTAAGGAGAAAAAAAAAAAATTAAAAGTTGAGCATGAGAACCACTCTCTGTGTAGAATCACTGATCTTTTATAATAAAAGTGTGTGCTTGGCATCAGTTAAGGAAGGATATAGCTGCAAATATTTACAGCACAGTGGGTAAAATAATCCCAAGAAGCAAGATCATGCTCATTCCATTCATAGCTTTACATGTTTCTAAAACAAATTGCACTAGCTTTATTCTTTCCCATAACTAGGCAGCTGATCATCCGGTCTAAGTTGCACGCAACAGTTACGTGTTTCCTAGGAAAAAAAAAAAAAGCTGCATAGGCCGAAGCTTATAGGCAATACAGATTTTAGAATGTACAGTACAGAGGTGTGTTTTGGCCTCTTTTAGAAGTCAGTGGGATGAATGTAAGCTTACTTCTGACCTTCATGTAACTACAGTGCCACTTTTTTTCTTGACTTTGTCCATATGAAATTTATTCACATGCCTTTGCAATAACTAGATTGTGAGAAGGTAGCCCCATGCTGTAACAATAACCAGTTGTTTGAGGTGCTTGCAGTTGTCTAATTAAAGTGTTTTGTTTTTTCAGACCGTGTGCTGGTCATTGGAATCTTTGCTAGCCATGCCTCCAACCCTTTGTTTGCTAGAGGTCCGTGTCGACGTGGTGGTGGGTGGGGGGAGCTGTTTTAGCCTGGCCAAAGCAAAAAGCAGCTGTGTTAACCTCTAACACGCGTCACTTGGTGTCAGTTGGGGTGATGTGGCACCAGGGGCTGCAAAAAGCAGCTGTGTTAACCTCTAACACACGTCACTTGGTGTCAGTCGGGGTGATGTGGCACCAGGGGCCGTGTGTAAGCGTTGCTAGGTGAAACGTGACAAAACCCAAAAAGAATATTTCGTACAAGGTCTTTAACTACTATGACCAAGGCAACGATTACCCCATCCCCGATAGGCCGGTGCAGCCACCCCTCCAGAAAGAAACTGCAAAGCCGCCAGAGAGTGCGACCCGCACGCCCTGGTCGGGAGCCGCCCGTCCACGTGCTGAGGCCCTGCCAGCAGTTGGGTTTCAGGACTGCACGCCTTCAGCCTCCGCACCCCAAGAACTTCACACGGGAACTGCTTTTAATGGCTGCAAGGACAACACGGGTGAGAAGGATGATGCCACAATGGACTCCAGAGCTAGAGGTAAAAACTATGTTTAGCTTCACTGGTAGTGCCTACTTGCTGCAGCTGCTGACTACACAGAAAATACTAGCACTTGCACGAAGTGCTGGTTCATGTGCAGGCCAGGCCAGGCGAGTCACCGTACAGCACGAGTGCCTCTGCCCTTTACTTGGCCCTGGCGATGCAGCAGAGCTCAGGGAACCTTCTCGTGCCAGTCCTGTTCTGCAACCTCTCGGTCAGCTCCTTGCCCTGCTCTAAGACCTTGCCACGTACGGTGTGTATTGTACGTTCTCTTGTATTTGAGATGATGTAATGACCTACTTCATGGAGGAACAGAAGAGGGTCAGGACAACCAGATTTGAATGTTGGGCTATTGAGAGTGATGCAGATTTTTTCAAAATCAGTGTCTGAGCAGTCAGAGAGGGTGGGGTGAGTTTTTCTGCTAATATTGATGATGGCCTAATCCTGTTCTACTTCATGCTAGTGTAAAACAGTATGTGTTCCATAGAATGCATGCAGTCGGTCAGGGAAGTCCTTCTAGTGTACTGTTTTTACTAACAACATTTTTCAGTAATTGGAGGCCAGTTAAAATTTAAAGTAGCCACAGGTTTTTTTTTCTTCATGTTAAAAAGAATTGCTACCTTTTTTCAGTGAGTAGGAACAGCCACTTCCTATCCTGTCACATTTCAGGTCTTCTTGCACACCGGTTTCTTCTCTAGTTCCGAGGTGGAGCGATGGAGCGCAGGTCCTGTGGTGTGAGCAAAATTTAGAGCAGTCACTGCTGAGATGTGAGGACGCTGTCACACACCAGTTATGGAGTAACTCTGCACCTGATAAGTGCTGCTGTTCAGCCTTTAAACAAACAAAAAAAAATAATAGTAGTGCTGTGTAGTTTGTAAGCTTCCCTACCCCATTTTAGCACCACTGGCTTGGCTCCCCTGAGTCTGCACTAAGGGGAGGGCCTGAGGATCCACGGGAGGAGAAGAGGGAGGTAGCACAGCCTGCAGTGGTTCTCAAGGCTGTCACCAAGGTCACAATAACCCGTCCGACGGGGCTTTGGCACACAAACACACTAACGGCCCCAGTGCTACCCCGTCAGGAACCCATCAGCAAACGGACACAGGACCCTGCTGTGCTTGGGGTGATTTTTCCTCACCCCTAGGCTCAGCAGGGGAAATACCCCCCCCCTCCTGCAGCCCCTTCCACACCCGAGTGCCCCACAGCTGTAAACCCACTGCGGGAACCTGCGGGGAGGCGGCCAGCGGCACAGGGAGGGGAGGGGGGTCTGCTTGCCATGGTTAAGGCCCCGTCCCTGACGAGACACCACCCGTTCAGGACAAGGAGTTAAAACTGACGTAATTGTGATTTATTAACATGAATTAAAATGCCCAACCAGTGCTGCAATGTGACAGTATATTAAAAAAAATTAAAGATCATATACTGTACTACTTTCACAAAGATCACACTTTTGTTTTTTTTCAAAAGAGACTTATATGTACAATACTATATCAAATGAAAGAAGCTTTAAGCCATTTTACAAGCAAAAGAAATACAGTATTTACAGCACTCGTCAGACATTAGAAACAGTCTATACATTAAATTACAATTTCCGCAAATAACTGATGAAACGGAAAGCCATGTCCACACCAAAACTATAAAAATTTGTATTGCATTGTTTTCTATCTCTATGCACACGAAGAACTGTTGACAGAAGAAAATGAAAAAAAAAAATTGTTAGTGCCATCACTTAGCCTGTGTACTTAATTACATATGTATAAAAGTAATATAGAAAACATTCACTAAATGAATTTAACTGCAACAATAAAATTTTAAAGATTATGCAGCATCAAACCTACTGCCAGAAAAAACAGCTGGAATGTTCACTTACAAAATAAAAAGAAATACCTAATACTGGCTTAACAGCACATTTTCAGGAATTTTAAAAAGCAAAAAAATGGAAAGAATACAATGAAAGAGCACTGGTGTTTGCTTTTATACAAAGTATCATGTACAAGCTTTAAAAAGTACCTTGAACAGGTACATATGAAATATACACAGTTTATATTACAGAACATTTAAAAAATGTTTAGAATTAGAGGGATGCATTTTAGTGCCACCCCGAACCATGGTAATTGTTCTGAAAAGTGGGCGGCACCTGTGCTCTGTGGATGGGGATCTGTCCGGGCACCGGCGAGGCCTGCTGCGGGCCTTGCACGCCGTGGGGAAGGGCGACGGAGCCGGGGTGAGGGCAGAACCCCGTGGCGGTAGGTGTGGCGATGCTGTTTGGTCCTTGAGGTTGGATGTGAGGACCCTGACCAGGGAGCGGACAATGAGGTCCTGTTCCAGCAGGCTGATGTTGAGGTCCAGGTCCTAACGCCGTGTGATGCGGGGCTTGTGAGGAATAGGAGGAGACGCTCGTGTGAGTGTTTGAAGGGAAATGGGGGGGTCCTTGGTGGGAGGGGTGGTGTAACCCTTGTGCTGAGGCTGGGTGATGCCCCGAGCCCATCACGTTGGAAGGCGGGGGCGGAGGGGGGGGAGGCGCCGAGTTTACAACGTGCTGGTGTTGTGCTTGCAAACCTTGGTGACCAGGTGAAGGATGGGGAGGTTGGTGGTGGGGTAGAGGACCCGGCGGCGGAGGCGGTGGTGGCAAATGGTGACCAGCAGCTTGAGAATGAATGTGTGATCCAGGAGCTACTGCCACGGCATGAACTGGACCGACGACGTGTGCTACAGAGTGCTGCTGATGAGTACTTTGCTGCTGTACGAGGTGAGGTCCGGGAGCAGGGGG